TGATTTTTTTTTTCTTGTTTTTCTCCTCTAAACCTAGATGCCTCCTATTGTCAGGTGCGTCTTTTGAAGTGAAAAATACGGTAACTCTTGGTTTTCAAATTAATATATGGACAAGTGAATATAGCACGTTAAATATCTGATTATTCTTCTGAGGTCTTATTTTAAAAAATAGTAAACAGTACAAAACATCATTAAAGTCTAATGTTGAGCTATAAGATTTATAGAGAGAACTTTCCTAAATCAAGTATAAATTAGTTCTATTTTTGTTTATTGCTCTCTTTTAAAGACCAGCAATTATGATAGGAATTGTGAAATTCTTTTTTCCCCTTCTTTGCTCATGGAGCTTGTATTTACTGTGAATTTGTTCCTCAAGTACACGGGTTTTATTATGGATGTAAACCATTTTTCATTAATATATTCATAACAATGAACAATGTAATAAAATAAAATTTATACAAATCAAATACAAATATTTAAGAGATGACAGATGAAATCCATGGACTCAATGCTAGATTATCAAAAGACGAAGCACACTGGAATTTACATACAATCTTGCCAGAAGGCTTTTTAGAGTTAGTTTTAGTATAATTATTTTAAAATATCTGAATATTAACTATAAAACTGTCAGGCATGTAAATTAATAAAGGTAAGTAGGTTGCAAAATTGAAAATTTGAAGTTAAAATGCCTTAAGTGCTGATATTTCTCGCACAAAACAAAATTAAAACCAACCAAGACCTAATAAATGGGTAGTAAATACTCTATTTTAACAAACATACCTGTAGTTTTCTGTGTTTCCAGAGCCTTTCCTTTATATGTATTGAATAAACTAAGTGTTGCATACTTTGTTTTCCCGTCCTTTGCTTTTGTGCTCTGGCTTGACTTCTCAGACATTTCAGTTCATCGAGTCTGGAATCTCCTTGCTCACCCCCTGAAAAGGAACAATAAACTGACTAGTTATAACAACCTAAAAAAAAAAAAAAGACACATCCATGCAACAACAGATGTAATTATCATGGGAATTGGGATATTCAGAATGTAGTGCAGCTGCTCCATAAAAAACTCTGTGGTAGCTTTCCAATATATGAAATAGCACAACAAATAATGAAATTGTTAAGTGTGTTCCAGAAATCCTGTTAAAGAGTCTGATTTTTAGTAACAGTAAGACAAATATCAAAATTAAAATGTATTAAAGAGATGGGATAATCTAAAAGGAACGCTACTAATATGCTCCAAGTAACTTTGTGTGTGACCTCATCTATATTCATGCATACAGAGTAGTTAACATTAGGATTTATACATCAAAGTTCAGATAATCAAACTCTCTATAGATGTACTCATTTCTTAGACCAGGTATCAATCTTTGAGGTCAGGGGGGTCAGCAAGTTATTGTCCACAGCTAAATCTGACCCACCCCCTGCTTTTACGTGATCTGCAGCTAAGAACTGGATGGAAAAGAGAGTAGCAGATCAAGCCTGAGCCTCCACCAAGATCCTGGGGTTAGAAGAGGAGCTGAGGATGGGGCTGTCCAGGGTAANTTTTCATAGTCATTGTAAGCATGCATTGTAAGCATGCAAGAACATTCACAATTCCCATCCAAACAGCACCAAATTGCAAAAAAGTTATGCTTTTCACTTAAAAATCATCCAGTATTTATTTAAATATAACAATATTTGCATAGCAGTTAGCATGAAATACCATAAAATCAATGGCCTATCCCAAAAATGTCATAAACTGTAAACCGTAAAGCGTGCAGGATTTTTCACACAGCTGTATCTCCCAAATGGGGATGAGAATCAAATTGAGGGATTTTATTTCTTTTTACTCCAAGGAAACACAGGTAATAAATTATCAGAAAACTAAAGTGTTAGTATTTGCATGAAATTCTTATAAAATTTATAATTATTACTAATTAAGTAATAATGGGCCTTGTGAAGAGTCAACAGCTGCCTTTTCTCAGCAGGAGGAAGTTGATGGTGAAGGTCAGTTGGGGTGATGGGGGGGCAGAAGAGATAGGCAGCAGAAGTGGAGGCAGGATAGCCAAAAGGTGAGATATTGGAGGGAGTTAAGCAAATGGAGGCATCGAGACGTATGTTACAGTTGTAAATTTAGGGAGGTGCCAAGTATCCAAATTCTTATCATGTGATTACAGGGATGCCACAACTTTAAGGATCAGCCATAACTACTATTGGTTCATTGCTATTGTAACTTCAAGTGGTCAGTGAATGAATGGTTGTTAAGCAAGGACTACCTGTAGTGTTCTGTAAAACTCTGCTTTAGCAGCATATGCTAAAATGTTACATTAATAACAGGAAGGATGATTTGTAGTGCAACTTACTTTTCTTCCTCATGTAGTTCTTGTTTAGAAGCCCAACCTGTGCCATCCTTAGGCACAATGTTTATGTTGGGATCATTGCCTTTGTTTTCTGCTTTAAGACTAGGGAGGTTAGCTGGAGGGGGCATTCTCCGCGAAACAGCAACTTTCCCAAGACTTTGTAATCCATGACGAGCTGCAACTATGCAAAAATATAATAATTATAAACTGTTAATATGCGTCTACTCATCCCTTTTTTCTTGAAAAAAAAATTCTTGCCAAAATACTATCAAAAATTATATTTTGGGACATTGAAAAACTAGGAACAAATTCCTGCCCTCTCATTTACTTGCAAATGATGGAGAAAAATATACCGTATTTTTCACTCCATGAGATGCACCCCCACCACCAAAGGTAGATGGTGCTGGTCCTTTGATGAATAGCAGCCAGGCTGCGGCAGTGGGGTCCTTTTACAGTGCTGAATCCCGCCTCTTCTGTCTTTGCCATTGCCCATCTCTTCTGTCTGTTTTCCGCAGTGCAGGAGTCAAAAGGCAGAGCTAGCATATGAGAGGACACCTATCTGTGGTCTTTTCAGGCTCCGCCTGATTTTTTTTTCTTGTTTTCCTCCTCTAAACCTAGATGCTTCCTATGGTCAGGTGCGTCTTTTGAAGTGAAAAATATGGTAACTCTTGGTTTTCAAATTAATATATGGACAAGTGAATATAGCACGTT